CGCACCGTCCCTGGGCCCTCCACGCAAGCGCAGAACAAGCACGTAACTCTTCGAGCGTCGGAGGATGTGTGTGGGCGGGGCGGGGCGGGGCGGGGTAGGGCGGGGCAGGGCAGGGCAGGGCGGGGCGGGGCAGGGCAGGGCAGGGCGGGGCAGGGCAGGGCGTTAGCGAGGAAGAGAGACCGAGAAGGGGACAGGCAGAGGGCCGCCGAAGGGGAGACAAAGCAACATACCCGGGAGAAGCGGGACTTGGCCGGAGCTGCGGACACGTTGGTGCGAGCCTGAGGCACGGCCCCGTCCGAGTCGGCATCAGAGTCGACCCCGGCGAAGCGGACCTGGGGCGCGGCCGCAGGGGCAGCAGCCGGAGCCGGACCATCGGCGGTGTCAGAGGCAGGGACAGTGCCATCGGAGCCAGGGGCGGCGCCGGCGGCGGCGCCGGCGGCGGCGCCGGCGGTGGCGGTGGCGGCCTCGTCGTCGGTGGCCCCCTCGTCAGTGGGAGGGCCACCGGCAGCGGCAGCAGCCCCGCCGGCAAGCGAGTTGGCCAGCATGGCGGCCAGACTGCTGCGGTCGGCAATCGGGCCGGTGTCGATGACCGACAGGGGGCCCTCCGGCGAGGGGGGCCGGACGGGCTCATCGCCGGTGGTCGGAGTCGGGGGGACAGAGCTGGTGGGGGTGGTGCCCGGCAGGGGGGGCGGCGGCGGCGGCGGCGGCGGCGGACCACCAGCACCCGGGGGTGGAGGAGGCGGCGGCGGCGGCGGCGGCGGCGGCACCCCACCGGCCGGAACATCCGCCGGGGAGCCGGCCACGGGGCCGGAGGCCGCGGGGGCTGCCTGCGTGACTGACGGGATGACCATCGGCTCCAGGAAGGAGGCCATGTTGGTTCGGAGGTAGGATGCCGTGCCAATGACGAAGGGCAGCGGCCGATGCGAGTAGGAGCTCTGTGTATGATGGCGAGGCGGCGTGGGAAGTGGCGGGAAAGGGAGCAGGGAGGGGGGAGACAGGGATCAGCATGGGGCCTGGCCACTGAAAGTGTGGAGAGGAGGGCCAGGGCAAAGAGGGAGAGAGAGAGAGAGAGAGAAAGAAAGAAAACGGGAGGCAAGAGTCGGGGGGGGGGGAGGAAGTCGCACGGTCAGCGAGGCCGATACAGCGCCCGGGGTGGCGGCATCATCCGGCTCGGCGATGGTCGGGCTGGTCGGGACATTGGGCTGCATGAAGGTGCTCTCGAAGACCGAGAAAGCGTCCGCCAGGGCGGTGGTGTACTTGGGGATGAGGATGGCATCGAGCTGCTCGCGAGTTGGCGGCTTGGCCGGGTCCAGCTGCTCGGTCCGGGACTCGGGCTTGGCCGGGGCCAGGCCCACGCGAACGGGCGAGAAGTCGGTCGGGGTGACGACGCGCTTTGGGTAGGGGGGCGAGGTGGGGACGCACGGGGACCGTTAGCGAGGGAGGCAGGGGAGGAGTGGGGCGGAAACGAATGGGTGGGATGGGGAAGGGAAACGCGCTGAGACAGGAAGGGGGGGTGGGAGGGGAACACGGTACGTTTTCGACGAACTGACGGTTGGCGATCATGTTGAACTCGTTGAAGGAGTTCTGCACCAGGGTCGAGGCGTCCTGGGCAGAGAAGATCAGGTTGTCCAGTCGGGAATTCACCTCGGAAGTCCGGGCGATGAGACGCTCACTGAACTGCTCGAGATATAGTCGAAGCTGTGGGCGGGGGACGGGGAACGGGGGACGGGGGGGGGGGGAGGGAGTTGGATGGTGAGTGACTGCAGCATGCCCGGGTGGAGGAGCAGGAACAGAGGCGAGGGGGAGGAGACCGGAGGAGACACGCACCCCGGCATCACTGGCGAGAGTCCATTGGTCACTGCCGACAGCGGCACGCATCTGCTCAAAAGACCAGGGCTTCTCCCAGACAGCAAGCCCGGCTGCGGAGGGAGGCGAGAGAAGGAGGCACGAAGGGGGGGGGGGGAGGAGTCAGAGGAGGGGGAAGCCAGGGGAGGAGGAAACCAGGGAGGGGCCAGGGGGGATGGGGCCGAGGAAGGTGCACATACAGCCGTCACCAGCCGACCCGGCCACGGGGGCGCTCGGATCACTGGAAGACATCGTGGGGGGGGGGGGCCGCGGTGGGGTAAGAACCGATGGAAGGGGCTGGGGGGTGGAGCCGAGAAGGGGAAAGGGGTGGGGGATGGGGAGGGGGGGGGAGAAGGAGATGCGGTGCCCGGCGGCCCCTCGGGTCGGTGGGCAGCAGCCCGCCTCAGAAATGGCCAGCCCCACCGGAGGAAAGTGGAACAATAACACGGCAGCCGGGGTGGGGGGGGGGATGGAGAACCCCACAACAATTGCGTGTGTGTGTGTGTGTGTGTGTGTGTGTGTCTCAGCCACCGAGAGGACACCAAGGGTCACCGCACAGCGACAACCGAAGCCCGCGCGCGGAGGGGGGGGGAGGGACGTTCTCGCCCCATCCCAGGTGAGTTCGGGCGACCATCGCCACCTGTTTGGGGGCAGGGGACAGGGCGGAGGGGGGGGGGGGGGGGGGGACCCCAGCCGCCCAGGGGGACACCGGCCGGCCGAGGGCCAGCGAGCGCACAAGACACACACGCGGGGATGGCCTGATGCACATCAGCTCATGTCCGGGCCTCGCGGCCAGGCACCGGCGGCGGCAACGCGGGAGTCAGCATAGCGGTGAAGGCGGAGATGCAGGTGCGCTCTTGCACGGGCCCGGGAGGGTGACTGGGGGTCGGGGGGGGGGGGGGGGGGGGGAAGGAACCCAGCCACGCAGGTGGAGACCGGCCGGCCGATGGCCAGCGATCGCACACGAGAGACACGCCCCCGGGAAACACACCGGCAGGCGCTCTCCGAGAACCAACGCGCTGCAAGAGAGTGACCCCTCGCGCCCCCCCTCGATTCGGTGACCGGAACCAGGGCACATATGTGCGTCTCTGCCCCCCCCTCCCCCCGGGGGAGGCAGCCGAGAGCTCACACACAGCCCGACCCGCGGCGGAGGCCGCCTGCCCATGATGGCTCGCAGCAGTGTTCCTCATGCCCCCCGAAAAAAGGGCCAGCCGGGGGGGGGAGGGGGACCACACCGGCCGGGAAAGCGACAACAACAAATCGCCCCTCCAGAACAGTGGGGGTAAAATTCACCAAGACCCTGGCTCGGTGCAGGGGGGCAGGCTGCATGACCTGTGTGCCGACGGATGTGCCACTCGCCTCGTGATGGATCCCCAGGTGGTCTGTCCGGTGATGTGGTGGAATTGTGTTTCCGTCGGGATAACGTGCCTGGTCGGGTGTCTTCTCGGGCGGCTCCCGGCCCATGGTTCACCATGCGAATGTGTTCCCTACCCCGGTGCCCATCCGCTCGCTGGTGGGCGCATACTTGCTCCTCGCGACGGGGTGCGCGGCCCCCGGATGCGTGCCGGACAACGGAGGCCGGGGGCGAAGTCGCCCAGACCAGGTGCCGGCCTCGAGGGTTGGGCTCTCAATTCCTTGGGGGCTTCGGGCGGTCGGCGCGGCCCCGGGCCGCTGGATTTGCCGGCCTGTATGGCATGGCGTGAGCTCGGGGCGGGCGCGATGATCCTGAGGGTCATTTTAAATTCCGTCTGCTCGAGACCGCCGCGGCTTCCTCACCGAGTCTCCGGGGGAAGAGTTCTCCGGGGCCGGGAGGGAGGCAGGACGACCCGGGGTAGTGAGGAGGCTGTTGGGGCCTTTGTCCTTCTTTGCACCGCAGGGACCCCGGCGACTGGGGGGACCGTTTGGATATTGTGTGCGTCTGTGCATGGCACTGTCTGTGCTCACAGGCGGGGCGGCAGGACTTGGTCTGCCCGGGTGGTGGCAACGAGCCGCAAGGAGTGGAAACACGGATAACCGAGGGCCAGACCCCGGGCCGGAATATGGGCCGAGCGGGAGGACCCCCCCCCCCCCCCCCGAGCAAGGCAACGAGCGGACTCTCGTATGGTGTGGCTCATCCGAACCACCTGTGTCCCTCCCCGGGGGGGGGGCGGAACAGAGACCCCCCTGCGAAGTGTCGGCCGGGAGTGCGGGGGGTGCACATGTACGGGGCTCTGCACCCATGATTGGGGCAACGCCCCTGCCCGCCCCCGGGCCTTACTCGCCTCGAGCACGGGGTGCGGGCGCGTCCGCGGGCATGGCAACCGTTCGCCAGCCAGAGGGGGGGGGGGGGGGAATTGGTGTGCGCGCAAGTGTCCTGGGTACGGTGAGGACCCCCGTAGCTTTTGCGGGACATCCCCATGAAGAGAGGGACGGGACAATATTCGGGTGGATATTTAAATGTTATAATAAGAAGACAGCCCCCCCCCCCTGCCTCCCTGGGGAGCTCGCGGGTGGGGACGGGCATTATGGTGGCCGCTGCCCACCGCACACGGGGGGGGGGGGGCGATGTGAGCTCTTCATGCGAGGGCCCGGCGGACGGGGCGCCGCCCGAGGGCCACCTTCTCGGCCGAAAAAGGACATGCCCTGCCAGCTGAAGGGGGTGGGGCGCGCAATGCCCGCTTGGGAGCCGGAGAGATGCCCAGGCGTCGGCCCAGGTGCGCCAAGATCTTGGCGCTGTTGCGCACGAACACGCGCGCGTGGCCCCCGGGCATGCCCCGGCACTCTGGCCAGGGGCGGGGCGTTTGGGTCTCGTGCGGGGACTTTCGGCCGGGCCTCCGCCTGTGGCAGGGCACCGCACTGTTGTGCTCCCGCCCCGCCCCCCCCCCCCCCCTTGGCGGTTCGGGGGGGGGGCGGTAGTCTTTTCACATCAGCGACCGGGCGGAGGAGCGTTTCGGCCTTCGGTCCGGCGCCCGGCCAGCGAGGATGCACTTGCGTGCCGGTCCCCGGCCTCCAGGCCTGGGGGGGCTCGGAAGCCAGGGGCAGGACGCGCCCTGCCTGCAGACCAATCGGCGCTGCTCGGCCCATCTGGCCCGGGAGAAATAATCATCTCCGCTCATGAATGTGTGGGTGTGTGCCCCGTCTCCCCCGCCCCCTTCAGGGGCCGTCTCCGCCGGGGTCGTTAGGCCGTTTGCCGGCCGATGGCATACGTAAGGGCCGCCCGCCGGTGCCCCGGCCGCGGGGAGGAGGGCAGCCGGCCCCGGCGCCTGGGGGGCGGGACGGGGGAAGGCGACGGCCAGGTCCAGGAGGCGCCCTGCGCCCCCTTGGGCGCGCGGAGGTCGGGGGGATGCATCTGCGGCAGCGTGGAACTTTGGTCGCACTAGCCCGACCCCGGCTTGACTGGTCGAGCGGGCGCTTGAAAGGGTGGGGGGGGGGGGGTGCCCACATCGGCCTTATGCAACGGGGGAGATTGTGCTCAACCTTCCGGCCGGAGGCGAACTCCGCCTCTGTCAACGCGGCCCGGCGATGATGAATCCCGGGCGAAGTGCATGCGTTATCACCAGGCACCCATGGCTGCGAGGCCCCAGGCCCGGGCGCGTCGGCGCCCGGCTGCGGCTCGCCCTGGGCCAGGGAACTGGCGCCCGGGCGTGCGGTTCTCCCTCGGGCCCGCGCCTCCGCGCCTGGCCTTGATGCGGGGGGGGGGGGGGGGGAGGGGGGGGGATCTTCCTTCTCGGAAGGGGCTCGCAGCTGTTTTCCCCCTGGCTCGGCTCATCCTGCGCGGCCCCTTGGGCCTGGCACCCCCGGCCCAGGAGCAGGCCGGGGCTCGGGTGTAGTCGTGCGAGGAATGCACTGCCACGCTGGGCCAGGCAAGTTCTTCGGCGGAATGCCAGCCCCCTTGCCCGGCCCCTGCCTTGGTGGAAGAAGACATCTACATGCACACACACATGCACGCGCACACACACACACACACACACACACACACACACACGCACACACGTACACCTGGCCCCGGGCCTGGTGCTAGATCGCAAGGCCAACCGGCGGGCGCAGATCTCTCCCCCTGTCCTTCTCTTGCCCTTTCTTGACCTGGGCCCTGCCCATGGCCCATGCGCGTGCATGTGCGAGCGCGGCCAATCGGACTGGGCTGTTTCCCGGGCTGGACGACCGCCCGCTGCCGGACGCCTCAGCTACGGACCGAGCGCATGACGAATGCCCCGACTTCCTGCTGCCACGGGCGGCTAGAGCTTCCCCCGCGCCTCCTCCCTCCGGGCCTTCCCCCGGAACTGCCGCACATGTGCGTGTGTGTGTGTGTGTGTGGGGGGGGGGGGGTGTGGGGGGGGGGGGGGGAGGGGGGGGAGGTGGCGGCGAGGCCAGTCGGGGGGGTTTTGCCCCAGGCTCATCCTCCTCCCCCACACAGACAGCCTCTCGGGGCCCCTCTTGCAAGCCCTTCTCCGGGCTCGATGATCTACAACAGGGAGCAGGATGCATGTAAAGAGCACCGCCAGCCAGGTCCATGCCCTCCCCCCCCCCCCCCCCCCCCCCCCCCCCCCCAACCTGCTTCCGCCTCGTAACTCGCTCCCTGCCCCTTTCCCGCGCGCGCTGAAGCCATGAGCGAGAACACCTTCCCCGATGAGGGGATCACCCAGACCACGACCCCGCCGTCGTCCTCGCCGCAGCTGTCGGCCGATTCGCCGGACATGTCCTCTGCCGAGTCCGAGTCCCTGCCGGATCTCTCCAAGCCCGAGACCCCCGTCAAGCCGGAGAAGCTGACCCTGTCGACGTCGCACCTCTCGCCCGGTGGCCCGCGGCGCGGGTCGCACCCGAACGCCAGTCCCGCACGCCGGGCCTCGGCCGCCGGTCCCAGCCCAGGCCCCATGGACATCGAGATGGGAAACCGCCTGTCAAGCAAGCGCCCCTCCATTGTTTCCCACACGTCGGTCAATTCCAGCAACTCGGGGATCTCATCGGCCCCGAGCCGCCGGTCCAGCATCCTGGTCCCCCTGTCGAGCATGATGGACATGGATGATAGCTACTCCCAGCCCATTCAGTCCGTGAACCTCACCTGGTCCGGGATCGTTCATCGTGTGAATGTGCGTGCACCCTCCCCGCCCTCGGCGGCCGGGCGGCCGGCCGGGGCCACTCTCTCCTGCTGGGTGGCCATGGCTCCGGCTTGCGCTCGGCCTCCTCTGGCCACTGTGTTGTGCCCCTTTCCTTCTCTGTTCCTGACGTCAAGATCTCCCCCCCCCCCTCTTTCTCTCTCTCTCTCTCTCTCTCTCTCTCCCTCTCTCCTCTGAACACTGCCGTCTTTCCTCACAAAGGTCCGCACCGGGCCCATCTTCCGCAAGAAGACCGTCGAGAAGACCATCCTCGACGATGTGTCCGGGCAGGCTCTCCCCGGGCGGCTGCTGGCCATCATGGGTCCCTCGGGTGGTGGCAAGACGTCCCTGTTGGATTCCATCAGTGGGCGCCTGCGCACCCGGGCCGGCACGGTTCTTGTCAATGGCAAGCCCATCCCCCGGCACTTCCGCAGTGTCTCGAGTTACGTGATGCAGGACGACCTGCTGGTGGAGACCCTGACGCCGCGCGAGCTGCTCACCTTCGCGGCGCGCCTGCGCCTGTCGCCGAAGCTCACGGCCAGGGACATCGCCGAGCATGTCAACAACCTGCTCAATCGACTGAGCCTCACGCGGTCGGCGGACACGCGCGTCGGCAAGCCCGAGGGCAAGCAGCGTGGCCTGTCGGGCGGTGAGCGCAAGCGCACGGCCATCGCCTACGAGATGATCACCAACCCGTCGCTTCTCTTCCTGGACGAGCCGACCACCGGCCTGGACGCGTTCATGGCCCTGCAGCTGATCGAGCTGCTGAAGGCCCTGGCGGCCGAGGGCCGGACCATTGTCACCACCATCCACCAGCCGAGCTCCGACATTTTTGGCCTTTTCGATGATTTGCTGTTGCTCTCCGGCGGCAAGGTACGACCTGTCTCTCTCTCTCTCTCTCTCTC